GAGAGAGAGAGAGAGAGAGAGAGAGAGAGAGAGAGAGAGAGAGAGAGACACTCTGGCCAGGACTCCTGAAGCCCTCTGTTATACTGGACAACATAGAGAAGGAAGTCCCTCCTTTGGCTAAAGGTGGTTATATGTGAACTGGGGATTTGAGAAGCTATGATTTACCTGAGAAGTAGATTAATTATCTGAGAAAAATGAGCATAAGACACTAAGAGAAGCAGAGAGAATATGGCAAAGGAAGGAAGACTGAAGCCACCAGCTAGTGTTTCCTTCTTCTTAATCTTTGGAACATCTATTCCTACATGTCCTTCTTACTTTTCAGTTATAAGCGATTAAATTTTTGGCCTCTTGTCTAAGCTAGTTAAGCTCTTCCCTGTCTATTATGGCTTGTGTCTAGATGTCTCTGCAAAGCCTGATGTGGTCATAGGTGGGATTTTTCAGAGGTAGCTACATCTAGAGTGTGTGATGCTCGGATCAAGAGTATGTGATTACTAAATTAGTCCATTAATGGGCTTGACATAGTTCTGGGTAGAATTAAGGATACCCCAGCCTGGGTGTGAGTGCTACCTGCCCTAAGAGCATGTAGTCCAGATAAAATACAAAGGACAGAAAGAGAGATGCTATGGTCATCAATTGCTGCTTCTTCACTAGTTTCTGCTTCCTGCCTACTGCCCACAATAACTTGTTTCTCCTCTGTAATACTCTTATGCTGGGCTGTCCTGCCTTGAAACCAGCCAACTATGGACTCAATCCTCTACAAACTATGATCTACAATACACTTTTCCTCCTTTAACTTTGGGTGTTGTTTGTTCCATCTCAACAAGGAGAAAGGTAATTAAGACACTGTCTTTTCTACAAATACATGCTGTTACTCTGAATCCAATTGTTGTTAGGGACAAACAGAACTGGAGGTCTTGAAGTCGCTGAGTGAAGACTGGGGTGATGCAAGGAAAAAAACTGACTATTAGAAAGTAAAAGCCTCTGTTAAAACCCCATTGCCTTGTCTCACTGGACATAGATCATGTGACTGCCAGGCTGAAACTGCAAGGGACATATAGACAAATGTTGGAAAATGCTGAAAACTTTTAAAATACACATTGTTGAATAAATTATTCAAACAAAAATGTGCATGGAACTATACTTGTATGCTTCAAAAATAGCATTAAAATAAACAGGTTAGTAAACAAGGAAAATATTTCTTGTACCTGGGCCCCATTCTCCTCAGTTGCTTTACTTTTCCTCCTCCTCAAAGATAACACTTCCTGGATTTAATACCAATTTCATTTTGCTTTCCCTTATAGATAAACCATTTCTTGCTTTTTTTTTTCTTTTTCCTTTTCGAGACAGTGTCTAACTATGCAATTCAGGCTGGTTTTGAGCTCACTTTGCCAGGTTGGTCTCAAACTCACAACAATCCTCGTGCCTCAGCCTCCCGAGTACTGGGATTGAAAGTATGCCCCATCATGCCCACCATGCATTTTTAACTATGAACTCAATTTTATGTGTTTTTAAAGGAAATTTAAAGTCATTTTAATACACTTGGCTCATTTTTTCAAAAAAATTTTTTTTTAATTTTATGTATGTTGTACAGGATCTCACTACACAGTTGGGACTCATAGTGATCCTCCTGCCTCAGCCTCCCCAGTGCTGGAATTATAGGCATGCACCTCCATGCCCCTGGTTCAGTCACTGGCTCAGCATGCCCAGGGGTCAGGTCTAGCACAGCACATTGTACCAGGCATCGAACCCTGGTCCTAAGCAGACAGTCAGCTGAATTATCTCAACAGCCTTTCATTTTTTTCAATATTATCTCCCAAATATATCTATTTTAGAGCCTATTCCTGTGGCTCATATATTTCTACCTCTGTATATTATTTTATTATATTAAAATACCAAAAATGTGTATGCCTATTTTACTATTGATATACAATGGATTTTTCTACTATTATAAGTGATATTATTGTAATCATTTTTGTGTATATATGTCTTTAGCAAACATAACAATACAGTTTTGGATTATACAGCTAGAAGTAGAATTTCTGAATCAGGATGTATAAACTATGGAGTACAGATATGATCAACTGTCATAAATACATCAAGCAGAATTCCAATATCAGTGTCCCTATTAACACTACCAGTAAGTGTGTGAGAATTCAGCTACCCCATAATCTGCCAGTACTTAAATACTGTCTGCCAGTCTTTTCAGTAACCATTCTGATTGATGTCCAGTAACATTTCCCTCTGACTTAAATTTTCCCTTGTCTGATGACTGGCAAACTTAATGATTGTCACACTTTTATTGTTCATTTAAGTATATTCTTTACTGAGGTGCTCATTTAACATCTTCTCATCTTTTCTTGAGTTATGTCTTTCACTGATTTGTAGGAGAAAATAAATTCTCATTCAAAATTAGGAGAGTTTACATTGATGCATCCTACTTGAAATAAAGTTTTGCATTAACTAGTTAAAGTGGATTTGCACAAATCTATAATCTAGAAATTACTCAAAACTAAGAAAACCAAGGGAATACATATCTATATATGGAGTGAAACTCAAAATAGGGTGCAGAAATATATGAAAATGGTGAGGGTGAAATTCAGGCCAGTGGGTAGCTCTAGAAGTGCTGGTAAAACAGGATCTCAGGATAAATCCTGAGGGCATTTCACTGACCTTCTCAAACCAAAAAGCTACAACTCTTGTTGCATAGGTTCTGCTTTACCTTGGTCTTAACCATCCAGTAGAAAAGTATGAAGATGAAATATAGGAAGTAAAGCCATGTTGTTATGTTGAGCTGTGGGGGACTCACGTCAATAATTTCTGACGTTGCCAATTAAACAGAAGACCCAATGCTATTATGGGCTTCTGTACTCTTTTAGAATATTTTGCTGAGTTTACACACCTATAATATTCAACAACGGAACTTAAAAAAAAATTGGGGTATAACTATGAATGTCCATTTTGTATCTGTGTATTCAAAGTGGTTGGGATAGATATATAGTTGCATTCTCTTAATGAATAGAATGATTTTTTCTAATGGTGTTTGTAAGTAGGATCACAAGTCTGCATCTTGTACAGCAATTAACCACTAAGAAGAATATATGCAGTGTATTATTTGTTGAAACTGTACTTTCGATTTGATTTGAAACTGTCTCATTGCTATATGTTTATCAATAAAACTTTGAAAAGAAAAAAAAAACAAGAAGTGCTGGTAAAAATCATTCTGGATGGGTGAGGAGTATATCAGTTGATGTAAATTATTGGGTCTTAGTACACAGCATTCTAGACTTTGGCTTATCGGTGAGCTAATGGGCCTTTATGAGTGAGTGTATGTATGCATGTGTTGTGTGTGTGTTTGTGTGTGTGTGTGTTTGAAAACTTTACAGTATGTACATAATTTGTGGGTTATCTTAGCTTTCAATAATCTAATTCTGCACTCTTAGGTCATTTCTTAACTTTTGTATTTACACACTGTATTACTTGTGGCCTTTCTTGGTTTTGTTTCTTGTGGGTTACATGCTTGGAAATAGATTTGCTGATACAAAGGCTAAACATATGTGCAATCTAGATACTATTGTTTTAGTTCATTTATTAAGGTGGTATTATTTTGTACTCTCACCTGCTATGAATGCAACTGCCCAATGTCCATCCAGCTGCACGTGTAGCATGTCTAACTTCAACATCTCTACAGATCTTATAAGTGAGAAGTGATATGACACTCAAATTTCTATTATGCTTTCTCTATCTCAAATTATTTTAATCTTTTCATGTTTTTTTAATCTTTTCATATTTTAAAAGACACATTTTTCCTAAAAATTATCTATTTCATAAAGACAAACTTGATGCCTTCATAAATAAGTAGATGCAACTAGAGACAATACTCATAAGTGAAATAAATGTCATGTTGTCTCCCTAGTGTAAGAACCCAAAAGAAGAAATAAAACCTGAAAGATATAATAGATACAGTGAAACAGAAAGAAACGGAACTTAAGAATTAAACAATGAAGATGAGAGAAAGGAGAAAAGATAGAAAAAAAGTAGGGGGAAAACATGCAAGTATATATAGAGGACAGCTGAGGTGATTGTAATAAACATTTCCATCAGTTTTTTGAAAATAGCAGTTAATGTGTAGAATTTTTGCCTTGACTAACTCTATATACTGATATTTGTGATCTAAGCAACTACATCGAGGACAGCAATGTGTAATGCAAAAACCATGCTTGAATACCTATCATCATAGTCTTCTTAATGTGTACCATTTCTAATGTCATAATAATTATTACTATACTCTCTCTAAAATAATTTTTAAAGTAAAAATACACAAAAATCAAGGGGAAAACTAGCAAAAGAAAAAAGAGACAAGAACAAAAATTTAAGGTTTCTTGAAAGCGTGAAGTAATATGCAATCATATGTCCCACCTTAAATACTGTGTCTGTTAATCTGAGCAACAGATTTGATGATAAAATAATATATCAACCATCTTTAAACAGCTATTCTTGTTTTGAAAATCTCTAACATATGTATTGTATGTTATCCTGTTTCTGATTTTCATTCTTGCTTTTGTTTTTATTTTTCAAAATAAAATAAAATTTAAAAAAACCGTCTATTCCCTTTGTCATTTGTTATGGATCATCAGTCTTTTGTTTTCCATTTAAGATGTGCTCAGGATGGTAGGTATAGTCCAGTAGTAAATATATGGTTAGCATCCAAAAGGCTCTGAGTTTGCTACCCAGCACCACTTCAAAAAAGTTAAAGAACAAAAAAAGAGTATTTAAAATGAAGAAAAAATTAAAATAACCTTTTCTTTCTGCAGTACTGAGAGTTAAACCCAGAAGTCATCTACCACTAAGCTCCATCCTCAAACATTTTTATGTTTTAGTTTGAGGAAGGATGTTGCTAAACTTCCCAGGTGTAACCCACATCTGTGACATTTTGTCTTATCTTCCCTAGTACACATTGAAACTACAGGTGTGCACCAATGCTCAAGGTGTGCACCAATGCTCAACTTTACTCATTTGATTTTATAAAATTTCACTCCTGAGAATACAACTTCACACCAAAAAGTTCTACTCTGTCTTCTTTAAATTCTCTTTACCTGTTAGCTCCAATCTTTTATTCTTGTCATATATCACCTGTTTTGTTTGGATAGAAAAACTGCTTAGAATCTATCTTTCTGTCCCTTCTTTCATCTAGGGTTGAGAGAATTTCTTTCTCTACTTGGGTACTGGTTTTACATTCCTTCTGTATTCTGGTCATGCTCTGTGTTCATGATTAGAATTTTGAGTCTGGTTTTGATTCTTTCTATGTACTCACTGTTAAATTTGGGTAGGAAAACCCTCTTGGAGTCTATATTGTGGCCTACCTTGCTGTCCACAACACAGAGGTATTTGCCTACTTCACTATTCCCCTGGCTTTGTACTTGCATTTTGGACTTGGCCATTGATATAAATAGAACTTAGGATGTAGTTGTTGGCATTGTCATATACTGACTCTTTGGAAAGGAAAAAAAGCCTTCGGATCCACCTTGTGGTTTTCCTTATACACAACAGAGTGGACCTTGTTCTCTACTTAGATACTTACCTGGCATTGCATTTACATATTGGCTATACTGTTGATCTAGAACATCATCTTCTACCCAATTACGACAACTGACACCTACATGTTGTGAATTACAATAATTGCCTTTTATGTCTTCTTTGATGTGCATAAATAAATATTTCTTGTCTTCTACCTGCATATTGGTCAGATATTCTCACTATATGTTTTGCATTTTGAAAATATTGATTATATATTCTTTTTTAGTGATGGTATTGTAATCTGTTTGCTGTTTCATTTAGATCTAAAACTGTTTTGGGATCTAGCTTGCTGCTTGCCTTTTTGTCCTAAATTAGTGTTTGGATTCTTGTCTACTTGGAAATTAGTATGATCCATTAGGTAACTGGTCTTTCTACTCCCCTGGTAACTGATAATGAGAATGTTTAGGCTCCGTTAGCAACAAAATTTCATTTCAGCTTACTTTCCTCCTTTTCCTCCTGAATGCCCAGAGGGTTCCAGAACTGTGGCTTGGGGTAGAGCAGGCTCACTGTTGTCAAGGACAAGCTATGTCTAAACAGACCTCTACTTACACCTGGAATGCCCTCACAGAACATCCAACCCCCAAGCAGACCCCTCCACTTACCATGCAGCCTCCTCCCAGCTGCTTGGTTCTCCAAAAGGAGGAGCAGAGAAAGGATGAAGAAGACCGTGGACTTCATCTCGCCAGGAAGGAACTTGACTGAGAGCTGAGTTGAGCTTCTCATTTATATCTTTACAGGGTGTGTCATGGGTGTGACTGATGCTATAAAAAGCATTGGCCTTTCTACTTTATCTGAAAATGCTCACTTCTTCCCCTTGCTCAGTGGGGGGTATTATCAATCTCTCAGGAACTTTGTACAGGGACATGATGTTGGGGACCTGCTTCTACTGCTACCAGCCCCAAGAAATATTCATATTACTTTCAGCTCATAACAAAAAGTTTCCTGCATTTTGAAAAAAAAACTAGTGCAGAGTAGGGAAGAGATTCGGTGGAAAACACTTAGTTGGTAGATCATCAAGTGCTCATACAGTAACAGTGTGGCATTCCTTTCACAATGTCAAGATTTAAATGCTGCATCACAGATATAAATTCATTCTGCAACCTATTTTAGAGTGAGTGTGAGGGATATATTATTGTACCTGAGAAGGAGCAATCATAGAGATATGAGACACAGAAAAGAATGCAAATATATGGAAGCCTAAAGAGGACACTTCAAAACTAAATACATCAAACCAATGTCAAAATTGGTGTAAAGTTCAGGCACATAACTGATCAAATGTGAAGTTGTCCTATCGATTTGAATGAGGGAAGATTGATACATTTGGGTTATGTTTCCACTTGAAGGATGAAAAACAGCAACATTTTCAAGAAATATGCAAGTATAGGGATGGGAAGAATTTAACATGCTTAGGTGATGACAGGAATGACTATTGGAGAGCAGGACTGCTATTTTTCTTATTGGGCTTTTTCATGAAATCCACTAAAATAACAAAATATATTTTTAGTTTAAATATGTCCTAGGGGATTTTAAAAAGCTACAACTCACAACAGGCAGGAAGAAATAATTGCCACTGCTGATGAATTTATTAATATATTAATAGAGGATAATATATATAAATCTTCAATGAATGCACTGAGAGAGAAATTAGGGAAACCATGCCTTTCACAATAATACCTAAAAAAACAAAATACTTAGGAATCAGTCTCACAAAGGATGGAAAAGATTTATGCAGTAAAATTTATGGTACTCTGAGAAAAGGTATTGAAGAGGATGTGAGAAAATGGAAAAATATTCCATGATCCTGGATAGGAAGAATCAACATTGTGAAAATAGCCATACTCCCAAAATTGTTATATACATTCAATGCAATCATGATTAAAATACCATTAGTATACCTCCCAGAGCTAGGAAAAATGTTTCCTCAAATTCATTTGGAACCAGAAGAGACCTAGAATATCAAAAGCAATCCTAGGAAACAAAGGAAAGACAAAGGAAAGGCAAGAGGTATTACAATCCTTGACCTGAAATTATACTATAAACTACTGTGATAAAATCAGCATGGTACTGTCATAGAGACAGACCTGAGGATCAATTGAATAAATTAGAAGCTTCAGACACAACTGCAAACACACTCATCCACTTTATCTTTAAAGTAAGCTTTTTTTTTTCTGTTTTCCTGTATCATTGGTCTGTGCTTGTAGTACCCGATTCTTTTTTTTTTTTTTTTGGTGGAACTGGGGATTGAACTCAGGCCCTTACGCTTGCCAGGGAAGCACTTATTCTACTGAGCCTTCTCCCCAGCCCCTCAGCCACTTTATCTTTGATACAGAAGCCAAACATGCACACTGGAAGAAAGATATCCTCTTTAGTAAATGGTGCTGGAAAAACTGACTTTCCACATACTGAAGGCTAAAACTAGGCCCATGCCTATGACCATGCACAAAGCCACAGTCAAAATGGATCAAATATTTAAATATTAAAACAGAAACACTAAACCTTCTGGAGGAAAGTTTAGGTAGAAATCTTAAAAACGTAGGGGTAGGTACTGAGTTCATAAACAAGAACCAGACTGCGAGGGAAATACTTCAAAGAATCAACAACTGGGATCGCATCTTTTTGAAAAGTGTCTGCACTTCAAAGCAAATCTCCAACAGAGTAAAAAGAAAACCTACAAACTGGGAAAAAATTATAACTGACTGTCCCTCTGACAAAGACCTTCTATTTTGAACATATAAATAATTTTTAAAAAATCAAGTCCCCAATCAAAAAATGGACATCTGAGATGAATATACACTTCTCAAAGGAAGAAATACAAATGACAAGTAAATATATAAAAGAATGTCCAACATCATTGGTCATTTGAGAAATCCAAATTAAAGAAACACTGAGATTCTACCTTACCCCAGAAAGAATAGCTAACATCAAGAAGTCTTCCAATAACAAATGCTGGGGCTGGGGAGATGGCTTAGTGGAATATGCGCTTCCCTGGCAAGTGCAAGGGTCTGAGTTCAATCCCCAGTTCCACCAGGAAAAAAAAAGTGCTGGAGGGGCCATGGAGAAAAAGAAACCCTTCTCCACTGTAGGTGGGAGTGCAGACTGGTAAAAGCACTATGGAGATCAGTGTGCAGATTCCTTAAAAATCTAGCATTGGGGATGCCTTTCAAGTCAGCAATTCCCTTCCTGGATATTTTTCCAGAAGAACTGAAAAACCTCATACCACAGTGATATATGTGCACTGCTGTTTATAGCAGCACAATTTGTCATAGCTACATACTGGAAACAGACTGGGTGTGGCAGAGCTCACCTGTAATCCCAGCGCTTGGGAGGCTGAAAACAGAAGGATCACTATGAGTCCATCTGTGTAGTGAGACCCTATCGATCTTGTACTCAATAAATTAAAATAATAAGAAAAAAATAAATTCTGGAAACAACCCAGATACCCATCAAGTGAAGAATGGATAAAGAAGATGTGGTATTTTTACACAATGGAGTATTATGCAGTTATAAAACAGGATAAATTTGAGTCTTTTGTAGGTAAATGGATGCAACTAGTGAACATACTATTAATGAAATAAATCAGACCTGCTTATGCAAACATCTTATTTTCTCCTTGGTATAAGAACCTGAAAGAGAAAAATGGAATCTGTTGGGTACAATAGATACTGGGAAAAACCAATGAACTTATTCAAAAGGAAAGAGTTATTGAGTTCAGGAGGACAGGAGAGGGAGTAGGGGAAATGGATTTTTCTAGGTATATAAGCAGGATGGTTTGGAAAACTGTACCGTGCATTTCTGCTGGTCTATGGAAAACAGCAGATAATACTTAATTTTCTTTGTCTCCTTTTTTCAATTTTTTGTACTTTTTTTCTTAATTTATTTTTTCTATTTTTTTTCATTTATGTATTTGGTGCATGGTCTCACTACACAGCTTGGACTCAAAGTGATCCTCCTGTTTTCAGCCTCTGTAGTGCTGGGATTACAGGTGTGCACAGCATGCCCAGACTCTTTCACTGGCTCAAAGTGCCAGCCTGGGGATGCGGCCGGCATGGCATGCTGGACCAGAAATTGAACCTGGTCCTTGTGCTTGCCAAAGCAAGCGCTTAGTCCACTGAGCTATCTCATTGGCTCTTCTTAATTTCTTATACATTTCTTGTTTTTTTCTTCCAATTTTACATGCAATCTGGTAATATGAATAACTGGTTGGAAGATAACATTATGTATTACAACAAATACTATAAAATTTGTATTACTTAGTTAAGTAATACAAATATCACTTGTAATTTTTTCTGTTTTAATTCTGATTTGTACTCTTTTAAAAATTTGTATATATATATAATGTATATGTATATATATATGTATATGTATATGTGTATGTGTATGTATATTTTGAGAATGCCTTCTAAATGATCCAAAGGATTCTTTTATTTATTTATTTTTTTGCGGAACCGGACTGAACTCAGGCCCTTGCCCTTGCCAGGCAAGTGCTGACTCTACTGAGCCATCTGCCCCACCCCACCAAAGGATTCTTTTAGTTTGACATACGCTGTTCTGGCTTGTATCTAGGTGTTCTCCCAAAGACTCATGCTGTCATAGGTGGGGTTTTCAGAGATGGTTGAATCTGGAATATACAATGGTGAGATTAAGGATGGATTCTGGGATTAATTCATACTGTGATGATAGGATTAATGGTGCCACACCCTGGTGTGAATGCCACCCTAATGGTGGGTAGCCTGAATACATTATAAGAGACAGAAAGAGGGCTGTTATTGCAACTTGCAACTTGCTGCTTGCTACATCTCTGATTTGTTGCCTTTTGCCCAACACAAACTGCTTCTCCTCTGAAATGCCTTTCTGCCACACCATCCTGCCGTGGAGCCAGCCATCCATGGACTGAAACCCCTAGAAACTGTGATCCAAAATAAACTTTTCTTTCCTCTAACTTTGGGTGGCAGGTATTTTGTCTCAGCAATGAGCAAAGTGATTCAGATATATGCATTGTATGGGATGAGCAGGCCCCAGAAGAGGACAGCATCTCCACTGTGAACCACTAGATACTGAAAGCAACAGGGAGCATGGTTCTGGAATGAAGGAGGCTTGAAAGCATACGTTCAATAATTCTGTTCTAAAATCTTAAACTTCCATAGGAAATTGTGTCTGGGAGGGTGAAGGGAAAGACAGCTCATGATTTCAATGGGAAGAACATAGATACAAATACAAAATTATCAAATAGAAGCTATGAAAGCTATGTGGTACCACTTTCACTGAGTCTAATCTCCCACATAGGCAATCTCTTCGTCCCAAAGGCAGCAATTATTTGCCTCTAGCAGAGGCAAATACTTCTCTGGAAAGTAGGCTGAAATTATCTTAAATGAAAACTTCCCACAGTGTCTCCTAATCGCACCACTTCGCCTCATATATCCCTCCAGAAAATACCAGGAAGAACACCACTTAAAGCTTATGAGTAGAGGAAAGAATCTGATAACATTGATCTTATTTATGGATTAAAGAACAAAATTCTTGTCCAGTCCATGGTACCATAGATACAGAGTAAACAAAAAGTTCAAGATATGTAAATAAAAAACAAAAATTGAAAAGCAGGAAAAGACAAACCAAAAATAGAATGAGATTATAATTTCCTATCAGAACAGAATTTAGTGAAATTTGAAGAGTATACTTCAAACTAGGAAAGGATTGTATGCACTGATAAAGGTGAAAGCAGAAAT